CAAAGATTTGAACATATAATACCATCACATGCTGAGAAGAAAAATAAATAAGAGTTAATAAGAGTCAGTCTAGTTAGTTAAGAGTTGACTCATAACCCACAAACTCTTGAGTTTAATTATCTGTAACATCCTCAATTTATTTGTTTTGAAATTTAGTGTCAACTATGATTTAGGATGTATAATTAAAGAGTAAAATGACTAAGGAGAAGTATTAAACAAAAAACAGAGAGAGGGAAAGAGATAACTAGTAAATTATTGTGGCATAAAATATATATTAATACATAATAAAATAAGCAACAAGAAAAGAATGTTGATAGGAAATACTTTCATAAATTAGTTGTTTTAGGTACGTGTTAAAAAAAATCTAATTATTGCGTCTAATATATTATTTAGAGTTGAAAGAAAAAGAGGGAAATGGATTATTATATTATTTTTATAAGATAAAAAGCAAAACCCTAACCCTAAATTTCTCACGTATAAATTCTCCTCTTTTCCTACATTTCTTGCTTTTAGCCGCTGCCACCTCTCCTTCCTCTTCTTGTTCAGTGTTATTTCCTCATTCTATCAAACTTTTAGTGTTCATCTTTCTTTCTTTCATGGCCTTCATTTTGCCATCCTGTGGATATCTTGTCACCACTTCTTTTCTCCATCAACCGTCTATTTGTGTGTGAATATATATTAAATTCCTAATCCCATCTTCACTCCTTTTTCTTCGTGTATTGGTATATTTTTATGGGAAAATTCATTCTCTGTGTCTTTTCATCCTCCTTGTTGCTTATTCCTACTTCCTAACCCATTTTTTTAAACCGTGTGTGTTGTGTTATGTATATATTATTTTATTTTATGTTTCTTGAAAATCCCATCTACTTCCATAAATTATAATTGATCTGTCTGAATCTGCAAGACCCACATTCATCACTCTTCCTTTTTCCTTGGTGCGCGTGGGTATATTTGTGAAAATCTTATTTATTTGGAGCACTCTTTTCTCTGTTCTTTCTTGTAAAACACACACATATATACACATACATGTATTTATATTCAATTGTAATACACTCTTCATAATTATAATTTTCTTCTGACACTTGAACCCTTACGTCTTGTAATTATGAATATATATGCTCTAAAACCTCTTTTATTTCCCCTTTGTCTCTGATGATGTATATTTGACTTAGTTTATTCATATTTTATTCATCAATCAAAGCTGATCCCACGCCATCTCATCCACCCATGTCAGTGTCAAAGACTCAAAGTATGCATATCTACTCCGATAAACCCATGTGTATCTTTATACACACATACGTGTATTCTTCCACCGCTTGTCCTTTCTTCAATTTATCCAATACATCATGTCCTATATGTTTTTTCTATCCATATACTACTTCTCCTTACAAACACACGTGTCGTTATATATATAAATGAAATATGTGGGTTTGGGGGTAGCTTTAAGATAGTTTAGTGTAACTCTATAATAGTTTTAAGTTTTATGTTAATAGATATTTATGTGTGATTTTGTAGACTCTCATCTCATTAAAATTTTTGGAGTAATTTTGTATGGTTATCTTTTAAGCTAAAAAATAGGAGATAACTCTAACATTTCTTTCATATATAGACTAATTGTTTGCGGATGTTATTATTGTTAGATATCTTGCAAATTAGTGATTTTAGTATGCAATGTATATATGTATATGTTTATATATGATAACCATTGAGTTTCCAAATAAATAGAGTTTTAATATATATATATATATATATATTTCTATTTCACTCATGGCTTATGCTATTAATAAATTTTTGTAATAATTATATATCTTGATAGTCATAATGCTTAAATTATAATGAATTGAATCTGTATTGGGTTTTTATTACTTTGAGAATGATAGTATATTTTATTAATATTTGTTGGTATATTCCATTATAATATTATTGTCATGACATATGTATTTTGGGATGTGTTTGAGATCAAATGGAGATTGATACGTTGATTAATTACTATGCAGTATACAATCACTTGGTACATAGTAGATGACACTTGTCAATGCCCATTCTTTTATGTTTTTCTTTGGTCGGGATTGTATTGGAGTTGTGAAACACGTGACACCTCCTTAGTCTTGTTCTGTAAGGAGGGGAGTAGGACCTGAAGAAACTTATTTGCGGTATATATATTTTGCATAGAATCGATGAATGATAATATTTGCCAACTCGAATTAATTCTATTGGGCATATGCAAATCACAATACATACACAGGCCTCCAATATTAATCCAGTTAATTAATTGTATTATTAATATTTCATTTGCACTAGTATTTTGTTTGAATGTTCAAAATTAGCGATTAAGTTGAATTCAAATGCACTAGTATTATTAGTCTACCAAACAAAAAGCTGTGCGACTAATTTAATTTGAGGAAGTTAGCTTTAGGATGACATTTGATTGATTATGCCTTGTAAGAGTACCTATAATCACACTGAAAGACTACGAATTATATAGTAATTTCAAAGAATGAACAAGGTCTTTGGTGGGAAATTTACGTGCTTGAAAAGTAGACATTATTGAGTTTAGGGGGTTGCTTTGTTTGACTTGCATGATGAGATGGGTTTCAATTTGCCAAAAGAAAATATGCTTGACAAACTCAATTATTTTTATATATTTTGATATCTTTTATATGGGTTTTGTCAACTTAATTAGTCCTTTTGGCCTTAATTGTTTGGTAATTGATTTAATATATTTTATTTTGAATTATTATTTTGTAGGGGCAAAATTATCATATTTTGGTTTAATTGTAAGTAATTGATTTTTGAGGACAGTTAATGCTACCTTATTCATGACTAAGGTTCTATGATTCTCTAATTCAACAACAATGGCAGGAGCTTAGATCATCAAAGGGGAGTTTTAGTTACTTAAATTTTTTGTCTAATAATTGTTTAATAATTCCTAAGTCTTAGGATAGTTATTTTAATTATTAGAAAATTTTGTAATGTTAAATCTGATTGTCTGTGGAGATTATTGTGACTGGATTATTATTTAGTATTTGACATTGGAGTGTTTATAGCTTTAATTTCAATTCTAATGTTGTGGTTGAAGGCAAATATATAGACATTAATGATGTACTTTTCAAAATGAAAAACCACACGTAACTCATGCAATGCTTTCAAAAACAAAACACCCAGTCATCATGGTGAAATATGGCATAAGATATAATAAAAATTATTTTATATAGTTAGAATTATTTAAATAAGAATATTTAAAACATTCTGCAGATTAATTAGGATTTAATGGGGGATTTTCTTATAATCACATCTTTTTTAGGATTATTTTGGGTTTTCCTTATTCTCAATAAAAATATAGAATATATATATATAGGTCATCTAAACATTATCTGATTAATTTTTTTTTAAAGATGTCTCATTATAGTGAAACTTAATTTATTAATAAAATAGCGTCCCTCTTTCTCTCTCCTTCTCCTCCTATCTCTATGACTTTCTTTATTTTCACTGTTGCTTTCTAAGCAATTTCCGGCATTTATATGATTTATATCTGGCTTTTGATTCAGGGATACTACGATTCTTAATATCATGTATTTCATTCACAGATATACAACTTGTATTCTTAATATATATATATATATATATATAGTGATTTGTAGGATATTTATATATCATTTTCTAGTTTCATTTTTATTTAATTATCTTTAAAAACGAAAAAAAAGAGACAAGAGCGGTGGAAATAATTTATAAATACAGAAAGAGAACTTATCATTGATAAGGGTAACTTTAAAGAATTCTATGAATTCAATGTACTACCTCCGGTCCTAAATATAAGAGCTAGTTAACTAATTTAAGTAGATTAAAAAATAAGTTAAGTTATTTATTTGTAATAAATAGATTTGTCTTTTCTAAAATATCCTTACTAATCAAATGTATTGGTTAAAACTATCATTATTAGAAGGGCTACTTTCAGAAAAATGTATAAATATGAGAGACAAAATGGATGCGGGTCTTATATTTAGAATCAAAATAAAAGTTAAACGGGATCTTATATTAAGAACTGAAAGCAGTATTAATATGTAAGGATAAATTATAAGTGACTGTGCGTGTATGTTTGTGTTTGTGTGTGTGTGTACGATATTTGTACACTGTAATGATTCAATGTTTCCGACCATCAATGCGATAGAAGTTTCAATTTACCAGGCGGCTGTAACTGAAAAAGATAATTTCATATTTTTGTTGGCAAGGAAAAAAAAATTTATACATATTTAATTTGTTAGATGTGAAGGACCGATTTCTTCCATTTAATGTGTGTGTGTGTGTGTGTGTAGGGTCTACGTAAGAATTCAGAAGCGCATTTGATGATTGATACTACATTAACTGAATGTTCCACCTTCGGAATTTTTTTTTAATTATAAATACAGGAAAGTTATTTTTTATTCTTTTTTTTTTTTGAAACTAATACATTATCTCAACCAATAAATTTTTTTAACCTATATACATAGGATAAAATCTTCCGGAGTTGAAATCCACGAAGTTATAGAATTTTTTAAATATTTTTATCATGCAATTATTTCCTTATAAAATATAAAATTCTCTCTCTTGCTTAAAAAAGATAAATTTTAGGAAATTTATGAATTCTCAACTTCATGAACTGATAGGATTATTAGGAGTATTTATATGATATCAATTTAGAAGTTATTTGATGGTATGAAGATAAATTTTTCATCTAGTTATCCAAGATCGATTAATTGATTATTTGATAATTCCACAATTTTACAAAATACAAAATCCATATTGGTTTAATTTTCACTTAATAATATGCGGCCATATGAATATACTAATTGTAAAGCACTACCTTAACTTCTAATTATAAGGTCTTATTTATAAACTATAAATAAGGTTTTATAATTAGGATCGAAGCAGTAATATTAACATGAGATCTTCGGAAAATTGCCAACACATGAATGTCTTATGATAGGCCCAACACTTTTATTCATGGCCCAAGAAGAATTATAGTGAGCCCAGCCCACAATTAACAACCCAAAACGATGGGATTTGTAAGTACAATATCTTCGATGTTTCGCACCTCATCAGGCACTTCTGTTGAATAAATTATATCATCCTTCCCATAAATCACCTCAAGAGTTCTGCACATTTTCCAAAACACCTCTCTCACGTCAGTGGATGCTATGATTCCTCCTTTCTTCACCATTAATCTCAGAAGCTCTTTCCTTTTCTCTTCACCCTTCTTCTTTATCTTCTTCTTCATCTCTTCTTCTTCTTCTTCACTCCCACTAATCAACCTCAACCCTACTGAGTTCACCAGTTTCCCTTGTTCTTTCTCCCTCTGCACACAAAAAACCACACACCCATATCCAAATCTTATATCATTCTTTATACAACATTCACATGAAAACTGAGTTTGATCGACTCATCTATCTCACCTGGTAGCCATTCACGTCGTTGAGGTATCTCCCATGGAGGCCAAGAACGTCTAAAACATAATTGCATTCTGAACTTTCAGCCACGGCTTGTGGAAGCTTAGGTCCAATTAGATACATAGCTGACAAGACAATTGGTCCCAAGGCCATTGTTATAATTCCATTCCGCTCATATTCTTCTATGCTCGGCACGCATTTGTTTTTGCACCATTCTACTTCCTTCAACCCAGATCGTAGAATATCCACCCACTGAAAAAAAAAAATGTTGAAGTCGACATACGATTTTAGTTGATTGATGAGGAAATCAATGAAGAAAAATAGAGATAGGTAGACGTTTTTCTTACCTGCTGAATTAAGTGGTTCAGGACACTACGGTCTTGAACCTTAAAGGCTTGGGCTGCAGTCTCACTAATTGTTCTCTTAAGCACTAAGAATAATACCTTCACCGGCTCAGAACAGCATTCTTTGTTGACGTCTACATCCCACCTGTGTGTTTCATTAATTAATAATATTTCAAAACACAATCTTTTACACACACACACACACACACACTTATTAATGCTTAGAGAGAAATTTAGGCGTTTGTACTATATTATGCATACTTCTCCGTTAACTTTATAAGGTTTTGTTGTTCCTCTTTAGTGCTCCAAACATCGAAGAAACTATCAAACACAGATGTGAGCAATCCATGCTTTGCCCAAGCTAAACGTGCTTCACGGAGTTCCGGAGGAGGAAGTGTTGCTGCCACTGACAAGAAGGAATACATAACTGTTGTTTTGGCAATTGGAAAATGTAGCTTATCCATTCCACTCGTCTTAAACCACCTGATTATTATGATGTATGATACGTTGATCAGTGATTATTCTTGGATTACCAATTAATTAAAATTAACACTAGAAGGTTGGTTCTTTGTTAGGAGAGGAAACCAAAACACACACACACATTCTAGGGGCCATGAAAAAGATACTCACCTGTTAAATAGCTCAAGTTCTTCACGAAATATTAATTGGCAGCGATTGAAGTTTTCAAGTCCTAGTTCCAAGAATTCTTTGTTGGCGAGGTTTAAAGAACTGAAGAAGAAGAGCCAAGGAGAATATGTACCAAGTAATAAATTAATCTATGTAAATCAACAAGCTCCCATGTGGATGGCATTGAGGAAAACTGGAGTAAGCTGTGATTATAAATATATATATTTATAGATTATAGATATATGATGTACCTATATGAAGATTTTAAAATTCTCTTTTGGTCCACCTGGTAGTGTTCTAGGGATCTTCGGTTTAACATCAAATCCAAATAAGCATGATGAGGGAAACGTAAAGCAAAAGGTACCTGAAATTAATAGTTTTTTTTTTCCTTTTTTTTTTAGTATGGAGTACATTATTGAGATGGATCAAACTTCTTTTTTTTTTTTTTTTGACCAGAAAGATTCGTATTAAAGAGAACAGAGGTACAAAAGCGGAGAAAAAGACTCCGCAACAAAAGCCAACACGGAAATAAAGACAAAACAGAGATAAAAAGGACAGGACAAAAGAGCAGGTCCCGCGCCAATTAACCGATGCCTTCTCTGTCACGGTTTTCGTCTTCAGCGATAGAGATACTCGTGGGAACCATAGAGCCAGTCGCATCATGGGAGAGTAGAACAGATAAAGAAGATGATGGTGAGGCCACCCACCCCGGGGGGTACATCTTCCTGCGCAAACAGACTGCTAAGTGATCAGCAGCACAATTACTTTCTCGCGGAGAGAAAGAAAAACGGAGATCCGAACATGATGCAGCTAGATCTAGGGTGTTTATGAGCATTCTCCATCCCCTCCACTCGCATCTCGACGAAGAAGAAGAGTGCAAACAATCAAACAGATCATAGTTATCAGTTTCTATAATGACTTTACTAAGGTTAAGATCAGTACACATCAGAACGGCTTTCTGGACTGCATGCAATTCTGAATTAAAGGCCGAGATAGCTTCAACACTTTCGCCGAAACCCCAAATGAAAGAACCCGAGCTGTCCCTACATATCAAACCAATTGCTGCTGAACAATCCTCAGCCGAGTAGGATCCATCACAGTTTATTTTCAGCCATTGGGAGGGAGGGGCTTTCCAGTGGATAGGTTGATCATCCATTCTGTCAAGCTCGAGACCTGGATTCGATGAGTTCGCTTCAAAAAATTGCTTGACGCCCCTTTGTGCTTTTGCTATTACGGAGGTAGGATCAGGGGATTTGGCATGGAAGATTACTTCATTCCTTTCCTTCCAAATGAACCACAAGGTCCACACTATCATAGCAAGATCTTCTGCCTCCAGCTCCTTTGAGGAAATAGTTAAAGAGCTAAACCATTCCTCAAAGGATTTAATGTTTCCCTGGTCTATTCTCAAAGAGAGGTAGCTCCCAAACCAAATGCTTCTGACCCAAGGGCAGAAGAATAAAAGGTGCTCCAGAGTCTCAGGTTCTGACAAACAGATAGGACAAAGAGGGTTAACCGCACAGTGTCGGTAAAAGAGAGCATGGTTAGTAGGGACAGCCTTTGAGCAACATCTCCATAAAAATTGAATTATTCTTGGTAGAGCCTTGACTTTCCAAACACTGATCCACACAGATTTGGGGATAATAAACGAAGTACTGGGTCTTACCATAGTGCTTTTCAAGTTTTCCATGTGGTGTTTGTAACCCTTTTTCACCGTGAAAATTCCATTGCTAGCGGTGGTCCACACAACCTTGTCCTTCTGGGAAAGATAATTCAGCTTGATATTACTAATTTGCTGTGCTATTTCTGCCGGGACGAGCCTTTCAATGGAGGCGAGATGCCATTGATTATCTATTATGAAATTATCAACTGTTAATCTTGATTGAGTGTCAATATTCAGGTGATGGGTTAAGGAGTGATTTGACAGACCTGGGATCCAGTTGTCGTGCCAAAAACTGATTGATCTTCCATCTCCTATAAGCCAATGGCAATCTTGTGAGATCATATTCCTGCCCGTAAGGATACTTGACCAGATCCACGAAGCTTTGTAACCTTTTTCTGCACTCAAAAAGGAGGACTCAGGAAAGTAAAGACCTTTTAGCACTTTAAACCACAAAGAGTTTTCTTCTTGTGTCAGGCGCCATGCAGTTTTGGCAAGTAAGGCGTCGTTCAGTACTTCAAAATCCCGAAAGCCCATTCCTCCCTCGTTTTTTGGAGTTTTCAAGTGTGCCCAGGCTCTCCAGTGGATCTTACCTCCCGTTTCTTTTTCCCCCCACCAAAAATTGGAGACGATACTGTCCAGATCTTTACAAGTCTTCTTGGGGAATTTGAAGCATGACATGGGGTAAATAGGGATTGCATTCACTACAGATTTAATCATGACTTCACGGCCCGCAAAGGAAAGGAGGTTTCTCCTCCAGCCTTGTACCTTTTTCCCTACACTCTCTCTGACATAGGCTAGCGCTTGATTCTTGGATCTTCCCCATAAGTTTGGAATGCCTAAATATTTGCCTGGGTCTATAGCAGTCGGAATCCCCAGGGCTCTGCTAACTTGATCTCTCACTCCGAGGGGGGTGTTTTTTGAGAAGATTAAGCTGGATTTGGCCAGGTTTGCCTGTTGTCCGGAGGCGTCACAGTATATTTTTAGAAGCCTTGATAATCGGTGACAGTTCTCCAAACTTGCATTCATGAACATCAGAGCATCGTCAGCATAGAACGTATGTGAAAGCACAGGGCCGTGGTTTGATAGCTTGATGCCTTTCAGGTTCATCCCTTCAGTCTCCTTCTCCAACATGCAGGAGAGAACTTCTGCATTGCAGAAAAGTTGATAATCAAAATTAAATTTGGGACTACTATGTGCATATATACCTCATGATCAATATGATTAGAAGGCGGTTTATGAGTATTGTTTGAGGAAGTGGACAAATATTCCTTAAGAAAATGCCTTGTCCAGATGTTTAATTCCTCCAAAACTGAATCATTTGCATCTAAAACTATCTGTGAAGCTTTATGTAACTCCAAAACAGACTCAACATCCTTCAAGTAACCTTGAAGAGTATTGAGAAATTTATCTTCTGAAAACCGACCAAGTGCATCTGAAATGCACAAATATCATAGTTAGACTTTAATTTATTTTTAATAATCCTCTATTGGCTACACAGAATTTGTCTTAATATAAAGACGCAAATTAAAACCTGAGAAAACATCATATCCATGCAAACGTAGTAAGCGAAATGCCAGAGCACAGGTGGTGGGTTCTAAAAATATGTCATCTTCTTCCCGCTGCCACAACCTGTTTGAAAATCAAACATAAAATAATAATAAAAAAAAAGATTAATTACATTATGTGGTCTTTGTTCTTCCCACGACAAAAACTATAATTTCATTTTCAAGCTTTAATATTACCTCCATGTATAATCCAATAAACTTCCAATTTCATTTTTAAAATGGCGACTAATCCCAAGCTTTTCAAGGGTATCAACCATATGGAGTCGAGCATACACATCAATAGGATGTATTGTTGGAACTGAACGAACAAGTTTTGGTGTAAAACCCAAAGATTAACGTAATGGAAATGAAGACAAATCCATCAAAATAGTAAGGTTTGAAAGAACAAACCAGCATTGTCAAATTTTGCCAGCAGTGAAAGTAGATAATCAAGACACTGGGAATTGTTGATATGAGTGTATGCAGCTGCAGTGGCGGCTGGAGAGTTAAAAAGAGAGCCATTCTTTCTTTGAAATTTAAAAGCCATTTCCCAATCCTGTGACTTCCCAAATCCTTCTGAAACGTATGCCATATAAGCCTTCCATCCTTCTTAGTTGCTTCCCCATCCACTGTAGTTAATTTCCATACACAAAAGAGCTCAAGCTAATATCTTCCAGAATATTCTTCAATATGATGCGAAGTTTAATTATTTATGGCTTGTGAATATTGTTACGAGATTGGGGTAAATGATTGCTATCTGTCTGTGAACCATGCATGAACAACTCTTCCCTAAATGCTTTATGAAGATGAGGGGGGGAAAAAAGTGGTACCTTTGGAGCTCCAAGTCCCTCTTTTGGATGAATTTTTCTAAAATATTCCCTCCAAGAGGAACATTTAGACCCAGACTTTGGGCTTGCTCAATTAATTGAGCAAAAATAATATCAAATC